CACACACACACACGCATACATACATACATACACACTGTGAGCCACATGCACAAACATGCACACACACTGGCAGGCATGAGCACACTACTTCCCTGTCTCAGTGGATTATCTTATAAAGGCTAATCATCAGGCTTCGGCTAAGTGTGTTCAGAAAAACCCAGTCTGTGGGGAGGCACAAGAGCCATTCACACAGCACTGCATATTACATTTCCAGCTGGGGGAATAGCATAATCCTACTTCTCAATCTGCAGGTGCAAAAGGCCTGTCTTCACACGTACGCTTTCTTGGTCCCATAGCTCCTGTAGTCTACGGCTGCAGAGATGCCCACCACCAGTGCGGGGAAGCAGTAGCCGCACAGATAGTAGTATTTTTTGCGTGAGTACTCGCTCTCAAAGACCTCCACGAGCATGAGATAGAGCTGCACACCCTCCAGACACATCCAGGAGAAGGCAGCCAAGAAGAAGAAATGCAGAAGGCCAGCAAAGATGGGACAGGCAATCTGAGGGAGGCAGCCAGAGCAGGGAGAAGAGGAGGATGGAAATATCAAGATAAAGGAGGAGAAATGGTAAAGATTAGCATAAAACCAAGTGAAAATCAGAAGAGGACAGAACAGAATCCCTATCAGGTGATGAAACCAACCATTAACAGAAAAAAAAATGAAAAGCTGCCCCCTGGGTGACTGGTTATGTGCCCAATATTGGGAGGTAATTCATTACTCAGGGCAGTAAATGTTTAATAGGGAAACTTAATGACACACTGCCTCAATTTTAGTTTCACAGTCATTCAATAAAAAATAAAGTTTTAAAAGGCACCAGTGTTTTGCCTTAAATGTAATAATGTAACTGACTAACTAAATACCAGCAACCTTGATTATGTGACTCTTTTTCATTTAGGGTAGAGGCAGCCATGTAAGTTTATTCTGAGCCACAACTATCATAAACAAAACAACATGTAGCCACATCACACTACAGAAAGTGTGTCTCATCTCATTTTGAAGCAACAGGTTACGCTCAGTTCATGAGAAACAATTCTAAAACTTGATTTAGCAGCACAGCAGGTTGTTGGGTACAAACTCACGTGGTAATCCGTCTTGTCAATGCCAATGAGGAAGAGCAGCTCAGCGATGAAGAGGTTGATGCACAGGTTCTTGTGGATTGTGTTGCGATCAGTCTGCAGGCCCCGCAGGAAGCAAAAAGTGGAGATGCAGATGGCTAGACACACTAGGGAGATGACAATACCCACCCAGGTGATCACAAAAAGGATCAGTTCGTGCATCCGGCCCTGGTTTTGAGGTTTGAAAAGCAAGGCAAAAAAAAAAGAACAAAAGATGGTGGGGGAATGAGAGTGAAGGGAGAAACAGGGTGAAATGGGGATTAAAAAAAGCAGTATCAGACAAACAGGAAAAGTAGGATGTATGAGATAAATAATGAGGTGGGAGATAAGCAGCAGAAACAAAGGGAGGATGGTTGGAAATGGGGGAGGGGAGAGGAAGAGCCAAATTGCCTTATTTAATATTTGTAAATATATGCAAGGAGCTAAAGTGTGAAGACAAGAGACAAGGCATCCTGAAAAAATACATGACATTTAAATTCATGTGAATGTCAGCTAGAAGTAGTGGGACATAAATTTGTAAGATGGTGCCTCCCTGAATGTCGGTGTGAAAGGAGGAAAAGAGAACATTCGAAACAAAGAGCTTGTCAGCCTTGAGAGGGAACATTATTGTGCGTGTGTGTGAGGGTGTGTGACTAAGAGTGAGCGAACGCTAATGCGCACATGAAATAATGTCTGCATAAATTACCCAGCCCCCATTTTTTTAAACCTGGGTGTGCCACACCCCTGTTTACTTACATCAGGCTCGTGGTGAGCCATGAGCACGGCAAAGTTGGTGAGGTGGCTGCAGGAGCAGGTGGTGTGTGTGTTGTTGGTATCCAAAAGTCTGCAGCCCTGCGACGACCACTGACCCATCATGGAGCGCTCCGAGTAGTTCCAAAAGGAACAGTTCGGAGTGTGAAAATGATCCATCTTCGGAAAACAAAAAAACCCAGAGATTGTAAAAGACAATAGTCATGGAAGTTTATGAAAATTTTCTATCTAAAATCCAAAGATTTGGATGCACACTACCTTTAGATGTTTAAGTGTGAAGATAACTGGCTGGGTGAGAAACACTCTGCTGGACTCTTTGTTGATAGAGGCAGCAATTACATGGGAGTTGACTGCAAGGCGTTTCTTATCAAGATTTGGTCCCTCCATTTCCATTTTCACAGTGGCATTCTCAGTGGACAGGAAGGATCCCAAATTTTTGTAGAGAATGAACACCACCTTTACTTGTCCTGCAAAGAGGCAATTAAAGTGGAGAGATTGAAGTAAGACAATGAGAGAGCAAGAGTTAAAAAGGTGGAGTTAAAATGAATTACAGATGGAATTGTGAGGGGGGAGGGGGGAATAAGGCACGAAAATATAGAAATAGGGGTGTAATACGGTAACAGCAGCAGCAGTGGAAAAGACAGAGAGCAGAGAGTGACAGGGTGAGTGAGACGGAGACAAAGAGAGGGAGTTAGTGAAGGTTAGAATGATGGTAAGGACCGTTTCATTTTGACTGGTGGAAGAGAGCGAGATTTAATGTGGAGGGCAATGGAACATTCATCCCTCAAGCATTCACAGATCTCTTATTATTCCGTATGAATATTTCATGTGCGTTTGTTTCAATCATTCTAATCTCGTTCTCACTGCTGAGCCGAGCACAGGCAGAAAACAGAGGAGGGAAGGGATGAGGGACCCTGGAAGGAGGAGGGGAGCGAAGGAGGATGACAGAAGGGAGGGGGGCCCTGGAAACAAGAGAGATGGGAGAGGGGGATAAGATGGTGGAAAGTCTAAGTGAGGCAATGGGGAAGGGAGAAGAGAGGGACTGCTGAGATTGCTCTGTCAGACTGGGGCTGATTGTAATCTACACGCCTCTCCAGCTATTCTATTAAGACTGCTGTTAAGAAACCATCAAGAAAAGAAATTGTCTCAGCGCTTTTGTTAATCTGATTAGCCTATTATTATGAACCAATAACTTAGTCAACTGCATGCAGATTGTTTTATGCTTGCATAAAAATGCAAATGGAAACAAAAGCAAGTGGGCTTTGTGCGACAGAACAATTTTTCAGTCTAAGGGTAGGAATGGTGAGAGGTGGGGGTTGCTGACCGTTACGGCTGTACTGTTTGATAGTGGAGGCCGAAAGCTTGATGGTGCTGTCACTGGCATAATTCTGTGGGAAGGAAAGGTCCTGAAGTTCCATCTCTGTGTTGACGACATGTACCTCGAGATCTTATGGAGGGAACAGAACACAGATTTATTGATAAAGTTCTGTATTTCATCCATAATTTAAACCTTTAATGCTGCTTTCTCACCAATGCTGGGGGCTCGGTCAGAGAAGCGCTTCCCATACATGTTGTTGGCTAGCAGAAAAGCTCCTTTTTCCAGGACGTCCAATAACATAGTGGCAGTATGAGCCTGTTCTGTGCTGTTCATGTCCTGCCACGAATCCAGAGCCTCAGGACGCAGTAGGTTGTCCACAGTCTGCACTACAGCCTGTCACATGGAGAAGGCAAACGAGAAGCCAACGATCAGCTCGTTTTAATAGAATTATTAAGTCAAAAGATAGTGTTAGTTTTCTACATATATATTGTAAGGAGATTGAAAGTTAAAGACAAAGTACAGTGTATTTCTACAACACAAACCAACATGTTTAATAACAGGACAATTACTACTTATTGGTTTTGCGTCATTTAAAACCCACTCCTGAGTAAGCTCAATTCTGGATGACTAATTATTAGACACTGGCTCATTAACACTGCTCCTAACAGTCTGTTCTAGGTTCTCAGGAAGCACTGTTAGCTACTAATTAACAATCATTAATTATCAGTTAGTTCCTGATTTGTGCATCACTGTCTTGGTAATGATTCATTCTGTGTAATGCATTGTGAAACGCAAACAAATGTTATGGGCCCCTCAAAGTGCAAAGTCTACCATAATTACCATTTCCTTGAAACGCACCAACATCTTGGACAGCATTTATTACTATGCCATGTGAGACATATTACCATTCTATTTCACACTTACAATTCATTTAATGGCAATTTTGATGGTTGTATCAGTTATTCAATTTATTGGAGAAGCCTGCTTGATGAATCATGTAATTCTCCTGCTCAGGCCTCTCAAAATGAAGGATTGACTACTGTGCAGAATAAAAACTATTGCTCAGAAAACAAATGAGTGTCAGAAAGCACTCCAAGTACTACAGAAGAACAAAACAGAGGCTGCATGTACTTCACCTTTGAATCAGTATCATTTAGAGAGCTACCTTTAAAAAAGGTGCAAGGTAGCTCAGTAAATTACACAAAATAATGACTTAATGACATTCTACACAGCAGGCTTTGCATTCATCTTGCACCCAGTGAGATCACAAGATGTGGAGCCATATTACAGCATGATGCAGAGGAGGTCAAGACACATAAAACACCATGTGCTGCAGACTGCCGCATTTTTTTATTACAAAGATCTATACACGCGGCTTTTTTATGATATTAGATTAGAGCTCTCTCACAACTACAGATATTGCACAAAAATTGAAAAAGCACGGGAGGGTGTCATAACAGAAACTGTTGCTTTTTATACTAAAGTCAAATTAGATTTTCTCAGAGACAGATATTGTATCTTATCATGCAACACGATGAGGCTAAGGTCGATATTACGCATTTGCCATAAAGTCTATCATAGTGAAACAAACATGATTATGTTGCCAGCAGATTACTTTTCATTAGCTGAAACAATACTTCAAGACTAGAAAGTGCACTGCTCAACATGTGCTACATAAAAACAGATGCCAGCTTTGACTGAACTGAACATTTAAAAACTGTTCATGTTGTCTGACAGGAATAATTCAAAATCTTGCTCAAACCGCTCTTTAGCACAAGCCACAGGTTCCATAGGTGATGGATCTAAAAGCTGAATGATAACACTGAACTAAAGGAAATTCATCCTCAAACCTTGCCTGCTCACGAATTTATCTTGCCTGAGTTGTTTTAAGTCACAGAGCAGTACCAGCACAGGAATATAAATCAGGCAGATAAAAGAGAAAAGCTACCTGGATATACGCCCGACAGGTCTTCTCTCGTTTCTGGAACTGGAAGGGTGAAAACAAAACCTGGAATTAATCCACTAAACAAAATAAACCTGATTCATATATACTATGAGACAATGTCCGCGTTCCTGCTACCTTATTAAAATTCCGTCCAGCTGACTCTTTATTTCCCGGCCTCAGGGCCTGAAGCTGAGCATCCAGGATATCCAGTAGTTGCTCGATGAGTCGGACGGATGAACTGACGTCTCCGGCTTGGATCCGACCCCGTGTGTGGTTCACCAACTCACCGGCAATGTTAGCAGCATTCTCTCCACTCTTAATCTACACATACATTAACATATTTGTCTCAGTGATGGTTAAAACAAAAGATAAAGAAACTTCAAACTTGAACAATCCCCTGCAAACCGCCATCACAATACAACACATACATCAAAATAGAAGGATGGTAGTCTGAAGACTTCCTTTTTTAATCATTAAAACATTTTGCATTACTGTGGACACGGATGGACTTATAAAACACATCATGGAGATGTGTCGTCCCTTGCTCTGTTGCACAAATAGCCTTAGCAAACTCATAGCAATTGATTTTTGCCAAAAGCAGAGCATATAATGGATTCTTCCAATGGATGATTTCCAGATTGATACTACTTAACCTTCCAGGCACATCCCCACACACTTAAAAAAAAAAAAGAAAATTGGTCAACTGAGTAGTGGGCTAAATAATTAAGATCTTCTCTGGCTCTTTCTGAATATATGCATGTTGTTTTGAATCTTCATATGAACACCATGTTGTTAAGCACAAGTAAAAATTATTTTAAAATTTTTGAAAAATGCATTTTTAAAACTCTGTGTGAGCAGTAAGAACACAGACTTTATTTTTTACTTATAATTCAGCCCAGATGTAATCTAACTATATTAGTGAAAAGATTGAGTTAATTAATCATCAAGACCAGATGCCTTCTAACAGAAGGTCAGTTGAAATTAGACTTTATTTTAATCAGGACAGCCTTGGAGATATGTTAATGTCTTATTGGAGGTGGACAGGGAGGCTGTCCAGGGCAGTGGGGCAGGGGAAAGGCTTTAGGTCTCACCTTCTGGGCCACCTGGTTGACCCATGGGGAGGTGCAGTTGCTCAGGTCAGGACCCCGTGGGTTCCACATGACCTGATCCGCCAAGCACTGGAATGAAGCAATGCCTGGAGAATAGTAGAGAAAAAGGAATCAGGGTGGGGGCAATAAAGGCATAATAAGCATTGGGTGTCTGCAATTAAGGGGGGTGAACTTCAAGAGTGTGATAGCTTCAACTGAGAAAAATGAACTGAAATTAATTTTAAAAATTCAACACTTTAAGTGTTTGAAGATGACAGAGGCAAATGAGGAAGAAAGCAGAGTAAATGAGAGTCTGAGAGTAAATCAGCCACAAATGAAAAAGGTTAAATAGCATGTTGAGGTTTAAGCTCTGAAGGGAAGAGGAATGGTGGAGGAGATGCTGTATGCTCAGATCACATACAGTGTATTCTTTGCACAGTCACCCAAAAAAGACATCAGGTATGATCCCTCACTGTCAAATAAAACACCTGAAGGGAAGTGCCTTAAAGCAAACCTAATTTACAGTTGTGCTTTTCTGTGTTACGAAGGTTCAGAGAAGGGACACCATGCAGGGATAAAACCTGAGAGAAGCCTGTCTGAAGTTGCTGACAAAAATACCCAACATCAAGTCACGAAGAAGAGGCAAAGAAAAAAGAGAATGGAGACCTTGGAGGACTGAGAGGAAAGAAAATCGGAAAAACAAAGATGACAGAGACAATAGAGCACTGCTTCGTGGAGAGATGACACATGAATTGGCTTAAGGTTTCTTTTCGCTTTTTCCTCTTCCACCTATTTTTCTCTTCTCTTTTCTTTATATTCTCCTCTGTCGATTACAGAATAGGCTTCAGAGATCTGCCAACACGAAGTAATTGAGGCAGCTTCTAATTTAACCCAGAGACATCATAAAGAAACTGTGAAAAGCAGTGCAGAGGAAGTTTGTGTGAAATGTCTTTTTTTCTGTGACTAAAGAGAGTTTTTTTTATGACTAAGAATGAGTATGGCAGGTCGCATGAAAGGAGGTAAAGCCTGTTTGGTTTAGCCTTTCATTTCATTATTTGCCACTTTCAATCAGCTTTGTGTCTATGGGAGATGAGCCTTTCATTGGTGGAGGACGAGCTTTTATCTGTGAGTCCTTGGAGACTGTGCCCACTACTGGGAACGACACAGGGACAGAAGACAACAATGTAAAAAAACAAGTGGTAGAGCACAAACATACGGATCGCTTGGGCACATGCATGGATTTATTACAAATACCCGAGCATGGAGAACTGACAGTATGGAGACATGTGAAACACGTTTGCTTTGAGTTACATGAAGCAGAAAATTGCACAGTTGTTTGATTATGGAAACATTTTTGTTTCTTTACCTAGAGATCCTTTGGGACATGGGCGATCCACTGTTTCCCCCCGTTGAGTGGTGGGCCACTGGACGCCCCGGACGAGCCTGGCCTCGCAGACATGCTGTCCGGGGTCATGAGGAGGGCGTGGAGGCCGGCGGGTGACAGGCACCGTGGCCGTGATTGCACGCAGGTCAGGGTGCTTGTTGATGGAGCCGATAGGGCGTGAGGTTGGGGCCAAAGGGCGGGCAGTAGAGGGGCTGGCACTGGATGTGAACGGCTTCGTTGGAGGAGTGGTGGTCACTTGTGTGCTGGTGAGAGGGCCTGAAGCCCAAAAGTAAATCAGAGACACAAAAGAAAAAAATACCGACTTAGAAGCTTCTGAAAATAGAAACTGAAAGAAACCGAAAATGAAAAAAATCATAAAAAGGGACATCAAAAGAATGCAGGACATATGCATGTGAACATAAGACAACTTTAAGAGGCTGATCTCAAAAGTTAGTTTCACAATAATTGGGGTGAAACACTTTTTTGAATCTCTCCTGAGAAGGGAGGAGAAGCATGGGATAAGATGGGCAGAAACTATCATCACAAGTTAGGAATAAATAAATAATTCATCAAACGTATCAGTGAAGTCAAGATCACTAATAACCAAATGTAATGCGAAGATAAAAGAAAAACATCTCAACTACAAAATCCTTGCAGATCAAACACAGTCAGCCCACAACACTGAGTGCTGCCGCCTGTCTGTCTCTGCCCCTTCTCTCCCGGGGCCTAATCCCGGCTTCATGCGAGCCTTTATGCGACTCAGATTTACAGTACATCCAAACCACCCTCTCACACTGATGGACTGCTTAAATGCACTGTTGCACTCCCATTTCATCCCTCCCTTTATCATTTCAGAGAGACTTTTTCATTATCCATGGCACAGTGAAGTTGATACGAAGCACTACTGTATAGTCATACCTGAGAGGGTGCTCTACATTGTAAATATGATTTGAGATAATTATTCAAAATGTATAATGCATTCAAATAACTGAAAAAAAAAATATTTTCCAAGAAGAAACTATTACAGACCAAACAAAAGATCTGCCAGGATAATAGGCCTACCTATTTTTCTGTAAACGCTCAATCACTATCATAACATTTTTTTAAAACTTTCTATGACTGTAATACGGCAAAACAATTGCAGGGATAAATGTGGATACAAAATGTACATTCGAGAAATCTGGTCACTTTTCTTTTCACAGAGGACTTTCCTTACCAGTAGTTGGGTCTGGTGGTCCAAACTCCAGCGGGTAGCGCAGCACATTAAAATTGTTCCACACATAGAGCTGGTTGTCTCGAGGATTGTAGTCCACAGAGGAAATGTACTGATAGGGGTTGGGGAAAGGGATGCTCACAGGTTCCTCACGTGCGTGGTTGGTATTATAGGCGTACATCACCAGGTCACCACCGGCCTCGCTGTCATCCTCCTGGTACACTGAGCGCACTGCGTACAGCACCCCACAGGCCATGAAGGCGTTGGATGCCACCCTCTTGTCAAAGCTGGTCTCCCAGGTGCCCTCAAAACGCAGGGTGTAAGGGTTTACCTGTGGGCAAAGGAAATGCCAAATTCAGTTTAATTCATTGAAAAAACTAACTAAATAAATCAATTAAAGGCAGAGGAATTTGACTCCGTTCCGCATCAACATAGGGTCAAAATGAGATTTCCTTTTGTTAATCTTTTCACATTAATTTCTTCATATAGCTGTGGTATTTTATGATATGAGGGTGCTTTCCTCTCTCATACACTCATACACTCATTCTAACTAACTCAGATAGATTGAGTTTCTCAGTAATATAGCCATAATAAAACGTTTACATTTGTTTAATTAAGATATAATAGTTTATTAGGAACTCTTTCCTGATATAGAAACAAAAGCAATCCATCTTTGCATAGGCAGACTATATGATATTACTTAAGAATCCAGAGTGAGCCATGTGAACAGACTTCCCTTTATATTACAGAGGTGGAACTCCATATTATGGTCTAAAAAAAAACCCTGTGTCTTTTAGGGTCATCGCTTCAAGTTATTAAATCAAACAATTCCAGGAAGAAAAATTCTGTGGTGCTCATATAGTCAGAAAGTAATCAGGTCAGATATTTACCTTACCGAGGGGGATAGTTTATTTGATTTTGATATAATGGGATTACAGTAGGGCGACACAGTGGTGGTTTAGCACCATCGTCTCACAACAAGAGAGTTCTTGGTTCAAGTCCCCTGGGGAACCCGAACCTTTCTGTGTGGAGTTTGCATGTTTTCCCTTTTTCTTTTCCACTTTTCAGATTATGTTTACATGATGCCTCTTCTTGGCCGGCAACATCTCTTAATCTTGTGTATTTTTGTATTCTGAATATCAAATTAATCTAATCTGACATACATCCTTTTGAATGAAAAGGCAGATGAGATTATGCCATAATCTATTCCTGAATATGTAATCCATATATCATCTGCTGCAGTGCACCACGGCTTTCCCACCTGGCTGACCACCAGTCGTCCGTTGTTTGATTCAGTGGCATAAATCACCCAGAGGCCATTCTCATCTACGGCCAGGTCAATGTCCGACTTTCCTCCCCAGCGGTACGGCGAGGTGTCGTGATAGTTGGCGTTTGTGACGATAGCTTCACCGCTCTTGATCCGTGTACGTAGGTCATACTTGACTATGTTTCGTGTGCGCTCTTTGTTGTAAAACACCGCACCATCATACACAACAAATCCTGTTCCGTCAACTCTGTTAGGTAACCTGTTCAGAAAAAAAAGTAGCAATGAACACATTATAAAATCAAGGCTGCTTGGCGCTCTGCTGTAAGATGTTTCTATGGGTTAGCATTCAGTATGATCACTCAGCTCTCATTATCCATGTCAACATCAAACGGTTTTGAATACAGCAACAGGTACTTTTTGATCATCCAGGACAGTGAGAGGCGCACTCACTTGTAGGTGATAGTTGGTCTGTCGTGTTTAAAGTCTTCCCAGGAGGCATACTCATACAGCATGTCGGTGCGGTAGGGGGTCCAGGGCATGACGTACAGCCGGTCCCCAGACTGCAGCGGGTCCTTGCACCATGCCCCTGCCTGGTGATCTGCCTCCCGCTGAGAGCTGGGCACCTGCACACGCAGCAATGTCCCCGGGCACACAAATACTGAAGCACAGAGGAGGTTTCGCAGCAGCGTAAAACAGAAGGAGGGGAGGCAGAGATAAAAAACAAATGAAAACAATGCATTGTAATAAGACCTACTATGAAGATGGCAGGGAAGGGAGAGAGAGGAAATGGGGAGAAGTCAAAGACCATAGCATATAGAACAAGAGAAGGAAACATGGTGAGGGCAGAAGAAAGATCTGAGTAGATAAAAGCAAGTTTAAAAATGAAAAGTAGAAAATGTAAGAGACTGGGAGTGAGGGGGAAATGGGAATCTGGTGTGGTACATTATCAGATCTAAAAGGACACATAGAAGCTCATTTGTAAAATTTGAGCATTGTGTTGGGAAAACATTTGAATATGATAAATGGGAGATTTCTGGCTGCTGCCCTGGCTTAGATGCAATCGCTAATCTAATTTATCTCGGCCTACTTTTTATTTGATTTTGCATTTTCTTTTTCAAAGGCGTCTGACTCTTTGCTCTGCCACAGGGTGGTAAAATAGTAATTGTGGAGCTTGTTTTATTAGGGCTTAAATTTGGGCCTCAGTCAAGAGTAATCTAAAAGGAAAAAAAAAACATCCTGGGGTAATGATGTGAGGTGGGCTGTACTTGCCTTTCCTCTGAAAATGACATTCAGCTTCACACACACTCACTAAAATAGAGACAGACAACACTCCCTAATCTACAGACACATCTGAACACAAACAAAGTGTGTGTGTGTAGGGGATTGTGTAGTGTGTTGGGGTGTCTACCCACAGGACATGTACTTTGGCCAGGTGACAGTCATCCACATGGGACTGGTGTAAATTGGCTGTCTGATGCTTTGTGTCTTTACCTGACAGGGAGACTGCCACGGGACAACCAGGCGCGTTAGATAACCTATGAGGCAAATCGTGGGTATCCTCGCCACTCTGAGATCACAGATGCCCGAGCAACAGAGAGCACGGGACGGGAGACTGGGAGATGTAGAGGCACTACTGACGAAATCAGTCCACTGGACTTGAAAGTTTATTTGCATTTGCATGTCTCACTGGCTTGGGGTTCAAACAGAACTAGACACCTGCTGGTCACCTCATGATTGAATGCGTCTGTAAACTAATTAGACATTGCTGAGACATTTGGACACAGACAGCACACATGAATTCACAGACAGACACAGACTGTTGCCATTCATTCAGGACAGTACATAACCATCCAGGCATACATAGCCTGTCACAAAGCTAGTGCTTGAGTGATGGATCAGTCTGGACTCAAACTGTCTTCAATACTACATGGAATCTGGTATAGAGGAGATGAATCCCAGCAGAGATATAGAGAAGTAAATCGGAAATCCAGCTTCTTCTGTTTGGCTTTCTGTTATGCTACTGCTGTTAGTGGTTGGTGATCTGTGCTGCTTAGGCTCTAAGGAATCAGCCTGCTCTGTCTGAGGGGTCCAGCAGGGATTGAGACTGGCAGCCAAACAGGAATGTAATCACTCAGGCACAAACAAACAGTGAATACAGACTCTTCACTTAGAGGATGGTTCTCATGCTCCACTGTCAAACCAAAATGTTTGCTTGAATACATTCACACCTGGACTGTTTGCTGTGCAAATACGATTGCAACAACAATAATAGTGCTGTAATAATAATGATAATTATAATTATAACCTTAATTCTAACACTAACCCTAACTCTAGTAATAATACCAATAACACTAATAATTAAGACAAGTATTTAAAGGCTAAAAGCAGAAAGAATTGCCAACACTCTTTGGGTACTCCTTTAAAAATACAATGGACTGTAAATAGGTAAATAAACATAATGAAGAAAAGGTTTTTGTGTAAGCGATCCCTAAACAAAACCAGGAACACTGTGCCTCAATGTAAAAATAAAGAACAAAGAAAAGCAAATGTGCCAGCTAATTATCTACCAAACACAATGAACAACCCTCTCTACTTTGTATCCAAGCATTTATCATTATTCAAAAAATACAAATAAATCGATACACGTCAGAGTGCAGCAGTTGGTGAATAGATCTGCTGTGGTTTCTGAAACTGTGATGCTTATAGTCACTTATCTGATGAAGTAGATGCTAACACTGAGTTCAAATCAAACTCATAAAACAAATATTATGTGATTCACTGAACCTTTCACAGGTGACATAAGCAGTCTCCTTACACTTTATACTCTTTTAGTCTCATTACCCCAGTAACACTAGAGCCTAGCAGAGCCTCACAGCCAATCTCTGACTTCCTCCTCCATGATCCTATCTGTTTCCTCCTCTCTCATGTAATCAGTGCGCATTGGTTTATTCTAATGTATTGGTTGTTGTGTGGGCCGAGTGTCAAATGGGCTCATCAACAGCAACTAAACTGTACCCACGGGCCTTGAGAAACACACATTCAGATTCACACACTCACATGCCAAACACTGGCCACGCTTCACACCCTGCAAAGTCTGCTTTGAAGCCTTCATTAAGTATTACTATGCTCTGCAGCTTTCCCCGCTAACTTCCTGTTTACCGCCTCTTTCTGCCTTTTCAGTGCTTTGCCTGCCTCTCTCTTATAACTCTGAAAGGTGCAGCAGCGAGAAGCCGGAGCTGCCAATCCCTAGCTGTAGAGTCTGTAGTACAAGAGGCTATTATGACCACAGTATGAACGAGGTATTAGGCATTAGGCATTAAGTATTAGGCATAAATCTTGAGATTAGGCATTATCCTAGTCTGGCTAGAGCAGGTTAGCTGTACTAGAGCCATTAGGGATTACACAAGGAAAAGAGATGAATTGATTAATTCCTGTTTGGGTGTAGACAGAAATCTTTGAGTCATGATCATTTTAGCAAAGTTACCAAGCAGCACAGACACAACACTATTTTACCCTAAACTGTCCAGATGGCTAATGAAACTTACCTTATCGGGGATTAAAACCCAGGCTGTGGCTATCATACTCTAGCCTGCCAATTACTGCTGCATGTAATGAGAAATAGGGCTGTAGTAATTGACTGTTTATCGCTATAATCCTGTTTCCAGGCCCAGGTCAGCTGTTACTCGTCAATATGAGGCTGCAGTATAAAGTGATGAAAGCTCCACAACATTCTTGAAAATAACTGCAAACGCCGCCATTAATATCAAGCACCAATTTGTGATCAACTGGTAAAAGCGAATGCTGACAGCTTTGGGATAAATTTAGACTTTTCCACTTAGTTGCTGCAGCAATTTCTTTTTTATGTTTGATGTGACAGCATCATAGCGATGCTTAATGCTCCATCTCTGATGATCAGAACATTGCCTGCCAATGGTTGGCAGCGGCTTCTTAAGTGCTATGTAGTGTTTCTGCATTGTTCTATTTTTTGTGTTTGTTTTTGTTTATTTATCTATCTATTTTTGCTCTCAACAAAGAACTTAAAGGTTTTGCTGGTCACATCTTTGCCCAGTTCGGTCGACAGTCATGTTGTGCTCACAGAACTGACTGCTGAGAGCATGCTGCTCTAATTGAATCTCCCACCTGTTATTGGCAGGTGCAGAAAGCATTCAGCAGGGGGCAGAATGGAGCATGGCATGCTAACTTCTATCCATGCTCGACGGTTAATGGGTGTTAAGGGAAAAAATGCATGCCTTGGTGCTTAGGAAATCTCCCGATGTTATGTTGTTGTAGTTGTTTACATGTTAATGTGTGTAGGTGTATCTCACTGTATATGCATGAGTGTGAATTTGAGCATGTGTATGTATGTGTGAGTGATTGGCAAGCATGCTGTCAGAAATAGAAAAGAAGCGTGAAAGGGGGGGTGTGAGCGTGTTCTGTTGTGTGTAAACAAGAGAAGAGAGAAAGTGAAGTAAGACAGAGCAAGTAGGTTATTTCCTGTGAAATCAGAATTAGGAGTGAGTTAATTTGCTGAGGAGTGACAAAGAGTGACAGAAAAAAAGAAAGAGAAGGGAGGACATTGTGTTTCCGCTTCCTTTTAGACTATATTTGGTCAGGTCTTGGGAGTGAAAAGAACACAATACAACACAAACTGCCACACACAAACATACACATGTAGGACACACATTTTTAGACAATGCATGCAGGTGCACACTGTCCAGACAGTGGAAGAGGCAAGTATAATTGTGGCACCTTAATTAACCCAAACATTCACCCCAGACCATACCCTTCACTGAGACCAAAAGCAGACAAGAGCAGGAGAAGACGTTCATTAAAATCGGTCTTATCTGCCTCTTGTGAAATTGACACTGAGTGGCAGGAAAGTTGATCAGGACATTGCTGCGGAGGCTACGGTATGGATACAGTATGGGAAACAGGAGCATACCCTGAACTGGCTGACTGATGCTTGAGAGGGGGGGTAACAGCGGGGTTGTTACAGTAGCTGAGCTCACCACCGCCCGGAGTGTCTCTTCTACTCCCTCCTACTCTGGCCACATCTCCCACAGATGCTGTCTAAACACAATGCTCATGAAACCAGCTGCTGTGGTTTATATTCATAACCACCTGCTTCATTCACACGTTTGGCTGTCTTTTACTGTAACACTGCGGCGAATTCTACATCTAAAGTCAATGCCTGCACCCTTCCCTGTCTCCTTGTGACACTCAAAAAGGTGTCTGTGCTGTCGTGATCACATGACTGGATTTGTGTGTGGTGGGTCATTCTTAATGAGGGGATGCTGACTGACCCACTCATCACTATAGCAACAGCTTCTCCTCTCTTTTAAAATTCACAGCCACTCTTTGTATTTCTCTGCCTTTCTTTTTTTCTTACTTATCCTGCCTTAATTTTTCAAATAACATATAGATCACTTTTTATACTATCTGAAGCAGGCCTCTACACTTGTATTTTCTTGTATTCTACCCTATATGGTCATTCTGGAACTGTGCCCAATTATCTAACACTGGTTCCTTTTTTGCATCTTCTCCTATAAATGGGAGCAAAGTAGAGGAATGTAAACCACTCAATTGGTCCTGTCAGCTTTGATAAAGAAAATACTGGAATGATATGGCTAGTGAGCAATGCTAGACTGACAGCAAAAAAGGTGAAAAAGGGGACAGTGGACATGATGGGAAGGGAGTTGCAGCTGATGGTAACGTAGCCTTAAAATAGCCTGACAGGTAGGTTGACAGAGGA